GCAAACATCATCCTTGCATAGTGCTTGAATTTTTCAACATCATTGATATCTTTTTTGGGTAGGGTTACTACTTGTGGAGCTTCCCCTAATCCGTAACAATGCTCTTGGTGATCTGCCAATGTCTTTTCTGATGTGAAACTTTGAAAGCATCGGTTGCAGAGATATTTTTTATCTTTATGTTTAGTATCTTTGCATATTAAACCATCTGGATTTTTGATCCATAAGAAATGGTTTCTTTGGCCATACTTACCTGTATCTTCAGCTTTATTGACGTCTGTAAGAGCCATAAGATGGATAACATGTGGTCTTTTTGTCATACAATCATTTGGTCTTGGATGCTCACAACCTGCAATTTGACATGAGTTATGTATAAAGAAATTTTTACTAGCAATTACTGGTTTTGGAGTAGCAGTTTCCTCCTTCCATTCCCATACATTAATTGAGATTTCCGGATTTTGGGCTTCGATTTTTTGGAAGGTTCTAGGACAAATAGGAGTTGGCATTGGAATACCATCCAAGTTAACTATATCCAGATATGGTTTGATGACTGAAAGACGTTGTAAATTTTTAGTTATATCTCCTTGGTTTGCAAAGTATGCACCTAAAGCATATTTTAAACACATATCATCTCCTGTTTGAGAGTTATCTGGATTGATAGTACATTTAGTATTTGCAAGATTTTTGGGTGTTGATTTGTATGATCCACCAGTAGCTCTTCTAAATGCATATACCTCAATATATATCATTTCTATTCGGATTAATGTCCACCCTGATCCATTTTTTAGAAATCTTTCGATTTTTGCATCAATTTCTCCAGCTGAAAGAGTAATATGCTCATCTATATCATTTTCTGAAAGAATAGCTCGCATTTCTCCTCTGTGATGACTTTGAATATAAAATGGAAGTGATGGTTTACCTTTTTCTTTCTTTTCCATTTTCATATAATTGCAGTATACCACTATTGCTGATTTTATTTGATCTTTTCTTCAAAGTTCAGCTTTAAGTACACTTGTAATTTGTTCTCGAGCTGATGCCATGAGCTGGGGCATATATGGAGCTTCTGCATATTTTTCGGGATTATCTATTGGTGCATTGAAAGCATATGCAGGATTTTCATATGACGGAACAATTGCCTGCCATTTACTTAATGAAGATAAACTTGAATGTTCTCTTTCCGGATCTCCAACCTTAGTCTCTTCGAAGATTATATCACCTGGTGGTGGTTTAACTGTAATACTTGCTAATCCTGAATCTCTATAACGTGATATAAATTTTTTACTCTTTGCCTTATCTGCTAAAAGAGTACCTCCCAATTCAGGCCAGGATTCTTCAATCTCTGGTTCTTCTATTAAACCCAATGCAATAAGTAAATCGATCTCTTCTTGGGTAATATTTGATTCGTTAACAGAATTGTTTTGTAATACCTCCTCTCTATGGGCTTGAGTAGATGGGCCTGGGCCAGCTTCTGAATCGATTTGTGGAACTGGTAAACTTTTTCGAATATAATCAACGACATCTTTCCTACTAACTCCCAATTTCTCCCCCCTTAAATATTGTTGTAATCCTTGAATAGCTTCATAAATAACTACATCCCATTTGGAATATAATTGTCCTTTCCATTCCCCAAGACCTTCTCTTTCTATTTCAGAATAAAATCGTTGTCTAGTAAACTCCTTTGGAATACAGCATTCCTGTTGCA